TGAGAGAGGAGAGGAGAGAGGAGAGAGGAGAAGAGGAGAGGAGAGAGAGAGAGAGAGAGAGGAGGAGAGAGAGGAGAGGAGAGAGAGAGAGAGAGAGAGAGAGAGAGAGAGAGAGAGAGAGAGGAGAGAGAGAGGAGGAGAGGAGAGACGAGGAGAGAGAGAGAGAGAGGAGACGCACGACGAGAGCCTGCGAGTGAGAGAGGAGCGAGAGAAGAGGATTCGGGAGAGGAGAGAGAGAGAGGAGGAGATATATTATATATATATATATATATATATATATCTATATGATATATATATATATATATATATATATATATATATATATATATATGATATTTACCCCAACAATGTTTGCATCTGTTTTACCATGACCTACACCACCTGTCCCTGACATCAAATCTGTCCAGCTTAATGCTTAAGGATGGCAGGCCTAGTTCACTGTGCCACACACACACAGTGGAGCAAAGCCAATGGATAAGAGGAAATATGTCATTGTCAAAACAGCTGTAAAACAGAAACAGGCTTCAAAATAGGGCCCTGTCTTGCAGAATCTTATCCAATCATTGTTGTCCCTCTCACCCATGTGACAAGCCACAGAAACTGATGTAAGATGATTTTAAGTATTGATGGAGCTTGCTTTAACTTCATGAGCAAATGTTATAGCTCACAAAATATGTTCTTGATGGCAAACAAAACCTAACATTATCAACCATCACATCATCTAATGCGAGATAACTTGACATGTTGCAAACAATTTGACATGTCTATAAAAAAGTTGCATCTCACAACAGGCATCATGATAGGCATCATTGTAAACTTCCACTATGACATTAAATGCTGTGCAAAAACACAAATAGGAATCAGACATCAACCACAGCACCAGATAAAGCACAACAATGAAATACATATGTCTGCAGTTACTGCAAAAAGTGCCATTAGCTCTGGAACTTTGGATACATGTCATTTTTTGAATTTTTTCTATTATCTGTACATGCATCATAGTTTTCATAGACAAACCTGCCCATACAGAAACTACAAGGCCAATTCACAATGTTTCACAAAGTAAAGATGTCCAATAAAAACACTCCCTGAAAGGCAGGCTGCAAAAAGTATCCCAAATAATACCACCAAGTAGTCTTTATGGAGCACATAAGCAATGTGACATATCTGGTATAAAGGAGACATCACAGTATTTCCTAGGCAAAGAATGTTGTATCCCATGTGGAGCCATGCCAGCAGCCATGCCAGCCTTCACCAACACCTGATCAATCTGAACAGGGCAATTCATTGTGGAATAAGACATATTTTAGACCATTTCTCAACACACTAATCTAACCTTACCTTACCCTAGGGTGATCAGGAATTTTAAAAGGCCACTTGGCTAGTTGATCATGGTCACCTTGAGCTCCCATCATGGTAACCAAGCTGTCTCAAACTAATGACACAAATATGACTGCATATTGAAAAACGTTCCAAGTGTTCATGACTTGCACGCTTAACAAGCTAAAGCATTCGCTGTGTGCCATATGCTGAACTAACAGAAGCATTCACTAGCCACCAGTATCAGTACACAACCAGGTGGTTACACATAATGCCATGGCTGAAAATTAAGTTGTTTAAGGCATGGATGAACATATCACATACATGAGACCAACATTTTTCAAACCTTTTCACTGCATGTGGAAAACATTCCCACTGTTGATGACCTGCTTGCTAAACAAGTTCAAGCATTTGCTGTGTGCTGCATGCCAAAACAACAGACACATTTACTGGCCACTAGTATCAGTTGAAAATCAGGTAGCTGTTTACACAGTCCTTGTTCAAACTTAATTATGTTTCATGTATAGATCAACACATAACATGATTGCCACCAGCATTTCTCAAATCCTACCCCAACAACTACTGAAACATTACCCCAGGTAGTAAAATGAGCCCAATCCCACATAATGGGTTATTAAAACCGGCCTAGGCCGACAGCACAGACTGTCTGCACCAGCACCCACCATGCTACCAGGTGTTATGAAGCATTATCAGCTTTGATACATAAAGCATTATTATACATCAGTGGTTACAAACATTACAGCTTCTGATACTGACCTACTTATCATTCCCTGCTTTTTGTCCAGCTTGGTAAGTTTTAGCCATGTTATATGCTAGGGGTGTCACTTTTGAAACTTGGCTGGAAGTTCAACTGGAAATGCCAAACTGATATGCCCCCAAGACCTGCTTTTTCCACACACTTTGACTGTATGGATTTCCTTCTTTGATGCTAGAATTTACAGGAAGTTTTTTGATGACTTATAATTGTTTCTGTGGGAGAAACAACTTCCCATTTCAAGTTAACATGAGGCTGGGGGGGGATTGTCAAAAAAAAAACTCAATGCAATGGGTTACTGAAACTGGGCATATGCCAAAAGCACAGACTGTATGCACTATCACCTATCATTGAGCCATGGAAGAACTGTGACAAACATGACTGAGACTCAGATAATTCATCAGCCATGACCATTCAGTCATGCAAGAACTGTGACAAGTGTGATTCAGGCTCACATGCTGATTAACCATTTCCCTGTTTTCAACTCAGACTTAAACCGTGATTAACCATTTCCATCTTCACGCTGTCTCACTTTCAAGTCACCCTGTACTTCTCTTTGTGAGCTTCAAACAAGGAGTGCTGAGAACAGATTCCAGCCATGCAAGAACTGGGACAAGCATGACCGAGGTTCAAATACTGATCAGCCATCCGAACAAGAACTGTGACAAACATGACTCAGGTTCAAATACTGATAATTCATCCGTGCAAGAACTGTGACAAACATGACTCAAGTTCAAATACTGATCAACCAGCTCCCTGCCATCCAGCTACCTGACTTCCATGTCACCCACTACTTCATCTTATGAGCTCCAAATAATGGGCGATAAGAACAGACTTTTCCATCAGTCCCTACTGATATTCTATGACTCCATTACACTTCTCATAGAAGAATGAGTTTTCCAACACCGCCCACCTTGCCTCTCCTTCCAGTACTGTATGCGCCACAAACGCCATTATAATCTGGTAGACTTCAGTGGAAGTTCAGATGAGGTCGAAAGGGTTGAAAATCGCCCGCCCTCACCCGCGTCGTCAGCTGATATTAGGGGTTACGATACGTTAGGGGTTATGATACATTAGGTGTTTTGACACATCAGGCGTTATGATACATTAGGAGTTGCGATACACTAGAGGTTATGAACATTAGGCGTTATGATACGTTAGGCGCTATGAAACATTAGTGGTTAGGATACACTAGGCGTTCCGATACATTTGGTGCTGTGATATATTAGGAGTTCCGATACATTAGGAGTTGTGAAACATTAGGTGATTTGATACACTAGGCCTAATGATACATTAGGTGTAGTGACACATTAGGGGTTATGATATATTAGAGGTTATGAACATTAGGCCTTGTGATACGTTAGGAGTTACGAACATTAGGGGTTATGATACATTAGGGGTTATGATATATTAGAGGTTACAAACATTAGGCCTTGCGATACATTAGGTGTTTCGAACATTAGGTGTTGTGATACATTAGGGGTTACGAACATTAGGTGCTGCGATAATCCCCCTTACATTTCACTTCATACGTACATTTCGACCCCCTTGGTTGTTGAAGTTATGACAGTCATCATATTTGTGGACCTATTCGTAATACCCACACGGACAGCACCTGGCCACCAACTTTACTTTAATACCCTTAAATCCATGATATGGCTAGCGTTGAACTGCATCGAAAACAATAAGAGAAATGCCCACACAATACAATGCCCAAGTACAGCTACCTGAAGGACCACCGGTTTTATATTTCAGCAATGTGGGTGCGGTACGACGGTGCAAGACGCCTCGCAGGGTAAAACATCCCACGCCGATAGCTCCAAAATTTCATGTCCTGAGTAAAGCATGCAATACACAGGATGGGAAGCAGACCATGTTTTATCCGGCTACATGAATTTTGTATGAACGCGGCTGTTTCCTTGGAAACGAAGGTAAGAACTTTATATCATGTGAGCATTTCTGTCATTTTTTCGTTGCAGTTCAACCCTAGCGATATCATGTATTTAAGTATATTGAAACAACGCTGGTGGTCAGGTGCAGTCTGCGTGGGTATTAAGAACAGGTCGACAAATGTGATGACTGACATAACTTCAAGGAACAAGGGCAATGAAATGTACGAGGTCGCTGATGCGTGCCAAAATCAACGGAACAGATGCAGGAAAGACTAACAGCGGAAGTTACAGATCCCCAAAAAGGAATTAGGCTGTTAAAAAAAAACATCTAAAAATATATCACTGAGGCACCATACACATGAGGCTGAAGATTACAGCTGCCTGGAGATATGAGAACCTTGGAATATGCTCAGAAGTATGGCAGGAGGGAGCTCATAACAACCCTCATACAACTTTCCCTACCTTTCTGCTGTGGTTTACGGAGTTGTTGGGATGCTATCTGAAAGTTATTATGTAACAAAGACCTCCATGCTGAACGTTTTAAAAACAGGGATTAGTAATCTTCAGATTGTTTTAACAGATAAACCGATATATTTTTTCAATGAACGCTCCTGTGCTTAAAATGGTGGTAGGATCCAGTGCGGTTTTAATAACAGTTTAAAGCGATTGTCAGTGAAATCCAGTGCGGTTTTGCTGCCAGATTATGGCTATTATCGATAGCTACGCTCGTAGTTCCATTTCAGAAAACACATCATGCCAGGGTGTCAAGAAAGTGTTGATACTGCTCAAGACCTCCAAGCTAAAAATAAAGCTTAACCCACGTCCTTGGGCATGACTCTGGGTCGATGGCTACGAAATGGTACAGAAGTCCAGCTCTGGAGTTTTTAGGAGTGCCACTACCGCGATCACCGTC